GGTGCACATATACATATATGTACGTAGTTAATAAATTTATATTTGTCTGAATGCACCAGTTTGTATATTTCAATATTTTCACATGGCCGTAGATGTGTCCTGTCACATAATAATAACTGTTGCATCTCAGATGTGTTACCTGTTACTACCTGCCAAATACAATGAAATTCCGTTCAAGTTATTTTCAGATATGACACGCAAAGTATCTTATGTTCATAACATTATTAAATTAGAGAAGAAGGGTGACTTTGAAGATCACGACCGCGTTTTTGCTAGTTGATGTAAGTTGATAATTAAAAAAAACATGATATCAAGTTGTATAGCCTGCAGTATCATTTTGACACCTCGTGACAAATTAGTTTTTGGTTAAAAATATTTTTCTTAAAGCAGTAATATACCTTTTCCTTTTTTTTAATATAACATGTGACTCATCTCAGTGAGTTTTGTTTTCAAGTAACTTTAAGGCCACTAGTAGTAAAACGACCAAAGGCATAGAAACAATGCCTTGGGCTTAAAAGTTTTTATCAAAAATTAAAACATACTTCCCAAAAGGCCAATTAAAGACAGAGATTAAGTGCAGTGCCCAACGGATGACGCTATAGCGCCAATTTGGTGGGAAAATGCCGTTTTCGGAATTGGGATTTTCTCTTTAACCAAGACAGCTATTCAAGTGATTCAAACAACCTCATAAAGCTAATTGAAAGCACTTCAATCGGGTACCAGGGAATTGTCTTAAACTATTTACTTTTGATTTTATCGTCTTTTACGTTAAATTACCCCATATTTCAATGGGTTATTAACTTCAAAAGACGATAACTTTCAAACAAACAATTTCCACCAACACCCCTGGTATCAGACAGTAGTCCACATTTTCAACAGCAATTAGTGCAATTTTCGTAACGATCGGTTATAAAGATAGGGAGATATACCTGAAACCGATCCACTTATCTCGTCAATCTGGAAAGCTGTTAAAACATCCAAAAACGTTCACAGGTTGGTTAACAGAGCTTATTAGTCAAATGCTTAGCTGAGAAATTTACCTGTTATTGGTTATACGATCAGATGGAACTATTGCTCTTTGTCATCTAAAAATATTTTGTTTGGGTGCTTTGAAATGCCAGTAAGCGTGCCGCCATTTTGATTGACAGCTCTGGAGAGGGCCTTAGCCTAGTGATGTCGAGTAGGGTGTCAAGGATATGTAGAAGGAAGCGCTTACAAAGGCGATTACGTGCAACCGCAGTTAAGAGGTGTGAAGTTACATTTGAACGTTTCAATGGGTCTTCCTCGGCAATCGAGTAATTTTTCCTGGGAGATTTACTTCTCTGTTATCGGCAAAGTGATCGGATGAAACTGTCTGTCGAGAGCTCGTGGCCGTCACTTGTGTTAATACGAGTTTTTGACAGGTAACGCTGCAGGACTGTTTTCACAGCATTTGGTAATTGTCAGGTCAAAGGAAAATCCAGTGATTACGTCAGAGCTGTATCTCTCGAAATGCCAGCTAAGATAAAGGGGAGACGCTCAGCTGCACAAGAATCAGCAGTAAAAGTGGCTGAGGGAAGGCTTTTGAATAAAATGACAGAGTAGAGTGTGAGTGAGTTTTGAAACCACGAGCGTGTCGATTGTAAAAAAGTATCTATTCATAGCTTTTGAAGCATGTAAAAGTTGCCTCGGCATTTTACTGTGGATTGCGTCTAATACCAGATCATTCACCGTACTTTAGGCCAACATGAATTTATTAATTATTTTATGAATAGGTCTGATTTTCTTTCTTTCCTCTGGAAATGCATTTTGACACGAACTTTTCTCTTCCCCATAGCGTACTTGACTTCTTCACTGCTAAGCTGATGTAAGACTTATGACCTATTACCGCACACGTAATTGGCTTATAACTCATTAACTATGCTCTGCCCCCTCATGGCAACGGCCCTTAGCAACAGAAGCGTGACTTAGTCGTCAGCCTGACTGGGGCGCGTGCCAGTTGAAAACTCATCAAAAAGACATTTTGCGGTGCGAATTTAAAAAATCATTACATCCAACGTTAGATACTTTTTTTATTAATATGAACACACAAAAAAAACTCAAAAACATGATTTTAAGCGTAGTTTACCCTACTACTGGCCTTAAGGGATCTATTGTGTTAATTGCATCAGATTCAGCAGGAGGGAAGCAATTTGAGAAAATAAATAATTTCTAAAAATAAGTCATCCACACAAAAGAAATATGAACTGTTCACTTTGAAAAAAGGAAACCTTTCATTTTCGTGTAAGAAATGACATTTTAAACTGACTAAGCGGCTGGTGTGGAAATAAACATTCACGACTGAAATATTGTAAAATGCTACTCCTTACAAAGTAATTCTGATTATCTGACAGCATGAAGTATTGAAACGCGTCCTCGTTTTTCCGAAGTACCAGAAACGGGAGAGAAAATTTCCTGGATAATTACAGCAATTGCTAATTGAGCTGCTCTATTATTATCTGAGCAGTTTTTGGAAAATATTATATTGCTATGAACTGCTATGCTAGGGCACAAAACCATGGAATAGTTTGTCACTTGAGAATCACCGCAATTTTGGGTCCATCGGCAGATATAGGGACGGGCCAGCTTATCAAAATAAAAGTAATAATAATGATGATAAAAACTATATCAAAATGTACATAAATAATTTATTGAAAAACAATAAATAAATAAGAAACAATAAATTAATGAACAAAAAGGCGGGACCTTACCTCATTTATACTAGTAGGCCCCTATCATCCATTATACCAAATTAGAGATCAAGTTAGATCAGACGTACTCCACTGTAGCAATATATTACAGTCGTTGTATGAAGCGAAATGGTTGTTGTTTAAGATAAAGAGTTACCGTACAAGGAATTTATCCTGGATGTACTTGAATTGAAATAAGCCAAAATATTCGGTCTTTAAGTTCTTTAAGTTTTAAAAGACCAGTTTTTTGTCCGGAGGTCTTTTCTGAAAGCGCGGTTTCAGCACACAGGCTTATAAAACAAACCTCGCAAGGCTGGTAGTAGTCCAGCCATTAACTTGCCGTGTGTGACGAACTGAGCTGCCGTCTTCAAGTAGCACGAATTGATCAGAAAATGGCAATCTGAATGGAAACGATTCGTGACAAGAGCACTAAATGCTCGCATTATTAGGGTGTTAAAGCCATGATGCACAGTATATTACGTATCGCCTTGGGAACATTTGTCTATTGAAAAAAACATGTAAGTCTATTGACTGTCATGTTGCAATTTTGCTCTGCGTTTTTTTATTGTCTGACTCTACATTAGTCATCACCTAATATCTCGTATTATCGTTACATCTCTTACAAACTTGTGAAACTGTATTTTATTTTGGAGTTCACTGAAACTGTCAACAATAATCATAGCGTACCTGTCCCAGACCCCGAGGTGCTCCCGTCTTCCCAATTTGGTTTTGGGTGCCATGTGATATTTGTCAGTATATACACTACACTCCCCAAACCGCAGTCTCTTTGAAACCAGAAAATATATTCAACTTTAAAAAGTGCCACAGTTATAACAGAGCCGTTAAAGTTTAAAGGTACAGTACACATGAACCAAGCAAGGGTGGAGCGTGGATTCCCAGTAACACATACATTGTGTATAGACCATGCCCGTCTACTAGTTTCTTATATGACTCAAATAAATTCGAAATGCCAAGGGATAAACTGAATAAGTCACTCGATCAGCCATTAAGAGCTTTGGACTGCTCCCTTGTTAAAAATTTTTGGTCAGAAGTTTAACTTACTTTTGCGACCTACTTTTCTGGCCCATTGATATACAGCATAGAATGCTAGACGAAAAATCCGTTCAAATATTATTTTAGGGTAAAATTAAACAATGCCATTTGGTAATTCTCTTAGTTATACTACTTGTAGTTATATGCTGGCATTTGATTGGCTTTTGTGGCAAAAAATTGACTTCACATGCATCTTTAAATAGATCTTTGCTCTGACACATTTTTCTAAGAAATGAAAGGATCAAGTCGTGGGTGTGAGGCGTCTTAGGCAACTGACGTCTGCTTCTTTTGTTACAAAAGTTGCACATGCGCACTGTGTGTGTAAAACAGTTATTTCCCAATGCCAAAAAATTATTAATAACTAAAAACACCAGTCTTAAAGAATCACTTTTATATATATATATCAACTTTGATTTCCCTACAGAGACCATCGTTGCACATAGGTGTTATTAATTTGCTCATGTCATATTACAGTATACAGTATTTCAAAATAACTTTTTTAACAATTTAAAAAACAAATCGGCCATTGTTCGCGATAAATGTAACATGCAAATAGCAATTTTATGATACAATGAAGCATATTAAAACCAATAATTACTGGAATGAAATATATAACTGTTACGAAAACGTTGCCCAAGTCTATATCAAACCCAGATGAATAATTTGGTGAATAATTGACCTCTGTTCGTCCATAAGTGAATTCAGATATAATTCACAGATTTAATTTTTTTGCATTCTGAGTCACAACCATAATGGAGATAGAGACCACTGAATTTGAAATTGTAAAATCATTTAAGTTGACATTGTCTGGGAAATGAACATTTTTGCTTTGTAAAAAGGTTAGGTGCATTGCAAGCCTACAACATTATGGGATGTTGATCATTCCTATGGCAGACGGACCAGAAGGGACTTTTTGATCATTTCAAAAAGTAAGTTTCAACTTTTCATACAGGAAAACCACATCTGATTTAGCAGTTTCATATCTGAACAAATCTTAGCATATCACAAGCACTCTGAGTTTCAGAAGTTAATGGCCCTGGTTTCACAAAAATAAAAAAACAAACAAATAAATAAATAAGTAAATAAAAATAAATAAATACATAAAAGTAAGCCAGGTTCCCTTGCTAAAAACTTAATTACCAATGTTGCACAGTCACATGCACACATCTTACTCTATCAGGTACTATGTTACAGCACTCTCATGGAAATCCTAGTCAACTAAGCCAGGAACTGACTCAATTTTTTTTTTTTTTTGTGAAACTGGGGCCTGGAAATCTATCTCTGCATTACCACCATGCCTCTACCATTTTCCCCAATGCATTAACTCTGAAACTAGGGCTGTTTTGGGAAATCAGCCCAATAAATACAAATGTAATAATCTATATACCGGTTTAGAGACTGAATATATGGCATATTATGCCTAATATGTATTTCATTTAGAGACAGCAGATAATTTCAATAGTCTTTGAAATATATAATAGTCAGTCATCAGTTATTAACTTCAAAATATATGTTTCCATTTTATGGAATTCACAAAAGAGTTATCAGCAAAACTTCAGGCTTTGGTTTGCTGAGCAGCACCATCCTGTCGTCTGCCAGATGCCATTAAAGCCTCGATCTCCTCCACTGTGCGAGGGACGTCTGTTAGCAGCTCCATCCCATCTGAGGTCACAGCAATGTCATCTTCAATTCGAACCTGGAATGAATTAGTTTATATTTATTGGACAACTTAACATTTTCTTTTTCCCTCCATAAAATGGTTTAATTCATGAAAACATTTGTGTCTTTGATATTTAAATCCGATTTATAAATTACCCATATAATATCTAAATACCCTAACAGAGCTCTCTATGTCTTTCTCTGGGTACGTCTGTGTTTGTGTGTGTGTGAGAGAGAGAGAGAGAGATTGGTCTACGTAGATTGATCCAACTCCTAGGGGACTCTTGCTGAATGCAATCAGTTTAACAGATTAACACCCCTCCTCTTGTTTCAAAAGTACTCGTACAATCACCAAGTTTTCTGTATTCTACTCCACTCTAGGAGATGTGTCATTCAGTTAACCTGATTGCAATCAGTCAGAGTTCCTGTGGAATTGTATTGATCTAAGGCTCTATTCCCATAGATTTTAGATCGATCTATCCCCGCAGGGAGTCTCACTAGATTACTTTCAGATAATCCGACTTAAATGTCTGTCCCGCCTACTATAAGCTGTAAGGAGGTAATTAACTTTCGTGTCCGCCCAGCTGACAGCTATTTAGCGTGAACCCCCAGGGAGTTAGGTCGATCTAAAGTAGGTCGATCTAATCTATGGAAATGGAGTGTAAGTAGACAGATAGTGTCATTGGGAATGAGCCCTGAATCAACTTACCCCTCCAAAGTTTCTGAACCTCTCTATCTCATCCCTGACTAGAAACACAGCATGAGCTGGAGTGTTGAGAGCACCATTCAACAACTAAAATAATAATAATAATAATAATAATAATAATAATAATAATAATAATAATAATAATTAGAAGATGATGCAGATGTCAAAATATTTTCCTATTAAAAAATACATGGTTGAAAACTGCAGTTAAGATGTGTCTTTGAAGAAATGATAAGCTTTAAAAAGTCCATATTACTTTAAAAATATGGGACTTTACTTTGACCAAGTTCGTTTAAATTTTCCCTATCATTTATCATCTATAATTTTTGCTATCCTCAAGATACTAACATGTTCAATAAAGTAAACCCCTGGTTCTATAGTGAGGACCATCCCTTCCTGCAGAGTTCTGGCAGTTCTCAGATGTCTCAGGCCAGGCTCATCAATACGCTGGACACCCTAGCAACAGAAAAACTACAAGATATTAATAAAATTTTAATTCAAATTGTTTTCTGGGGAAACTATCAATAGATTAACTTACAGCTGAAATACAATACACACTAGTTTAGCTTTCTTAGACAATTTTATTGTAACTGTAGAAATAAATAAATTCAAATTATTTACAATACGTAGTGAAGCCCGGATATTTTGCTTATTAAAAGGATAAACAGAATACGTCTTACAGTTTATTTTTTCAGCAGATTTTAATAAAAATTTGTAACTTTAGTGACAAGTGACAAACAGTATCAAAGAAATACAACCTCTATAACAGAATGATAATTATAACAATAACATCAACACAATTGCTGAAAACACAACTAGCACAATCAAGACAGGCACAACAATTTACAGTCTCAACTACCACAATCAACGCAATCTCACCTCTGGGTAGCCTCCCACGTCATGCACATCCAGTCCCATGAAATGTCCCAGCCCATGTGGCATGAACACAGCTCCCAGGCGGACCTTCATCATGTCATCCACCTCTCCCTGGAGTAAGCCGTGTCGCTTCAGCTCCTCTAAAATCTGGCGCTCTGCCAACTTATGCATCTCAACCCAGGACACTCCTACAGTGAAGGGCGACTAATGTTTATTTTGACTTATTGTTTATTTATTTATCTAATATACACTATTTCTTTAATTAGTAGAATGTAACAGTTATTAATTGGTCCCTCCAGTTCATATTTAATTGTAGTTAATGACAGCATGGCTTTCTCCAATTCTAAGAGAATCCTCACAAACGTACATACCAGTAATATGTCTCTTTTAACTCTGGGAACATTTTCCTGAATATCATCATACCCAACTGTATAATTTGCCACATATTTTAAGAAACAAGAAGTTCCTTAAACACATGGACCCACACCCACCCACATTATTTGCCACCAAGTAAGTTAACAATGTTTTCTTCAGTACACACACCCATGCTCACCCATATAATTTGCCACTTAGATTTTCTCAGTTATAAAATCACTACTCCCAGATCAGTCCACTCAACACTAAGCCATTCACACAGCTCACTCACCTGGCCTGACAGCCTGCATGACGGCACGGCTTGCCTTGAACACAGCGTTGTAGATCTTCTTCTGGTCCTCTGTGAACTTGCCGTTGGCGGGGAAGGAACAGGTGATATCGGAGGTGTAGCAGTGGTATTCAGCACCCATGTCAAACAGACTTAAAAATACAGAAACATTATGCGGGATTCTGAACATGACAACTTATTGACCACCTGAGGATATCAACCAATTAGATTTGGTCTTAGTAGATTTTGCGAAGTACTGGTGATTGTCTTTCAGACCAAGTGGAATAGACTGAATTATCTCAAACAGTGTAGAAAACAAATTTTACTTTGGAGTTCTTTGATCTTCTCTCAACCCTCTCATTACTCACAATTCTCCATAGTTTTTCAAACTTGCTTTACTTTTATTCTGTGAAAATGCTAAGTGCAAAGCTACTTGTGCTTGATGCTCTGGCGGTATGCTCATGATGATACAAATAGCAAGTTTCCACCCCTAGGTATACTAACCACATGTCTCCATCTTGGATTTTCTTGCTATTTGGGGCACCAGCATGTCCATAATGGAGGATGGAGCTGTTGAAACCACTGAAATACAGAAAATATGCAAAAATGATGACAATAACAGAAGTTAATTGGTTATATGGATCATGAAAGTTAGGCCTGGGTTTTGTTTTGTTGCTGGAAATATTCCCATTGTAATTTAAAAACTTTGTCACTGTCCAGTTCAGTGGAACTCGAATGTACCAATCTACCTTTGAATGCTTCATTTGTTATGTGGGCTATTGTTAGGAAAGGTTACAATTTCATCACTGTTACTTTTACTTTGTTAAAAAACAATTACATGTACTTCTGATCAGTATATGTAGCATGAAATTTTATGGCTTTACCAATACTTTGCTGTATCTCCTTTTTCTTATTGGCAATAGACCTTTTCTTCTAAGAGAAACAAAACTTTTTTTATGTGTAATACTACACTGTTGCAGGAAAATACACCTTCAAAAAAAAAAAAAAAATTAGAAATTCTAATGCAATCTTTCCCTTTATCCTTACCTTCCACAAATACACGTGTATGACATAATCCTCATTCCACCATTCACATAACAATAGTGCTGGAATGCACTGAAACAGCAATATTGTATTATACTGACTGTATTGGCCATGGGGTACCTTAGGCATTTATCACTGGGTTCCCACACCTAGATTGATCTAACAGGATTGATCCATCTCTTGGGCATTTCTCAGTAAATCGCTTTCATGTTAAGCACCTTAGATGTTCTGAAGCTGATAAACAATTATAATAATTTACCCTCTAGCAGCTTTAGTAGGCCTGATGGACATCTAAGCTGATTAAGTTGATTGCAATTTAGCAAGAATCCCCTCGGAGATAGATCGTCCCATAGTTAGCATAGTATATGGTCTGGGAATGGTCCCTAAGCCCAAAGGTGACTAAGATCTGATCACCTAAGAAAACCGTAAGCCTGAAGATGGAATCTACAGAGTAGTGTAAATAACCTAAAATAACTGCTTAAATGGCAACTGATTCCATTAATTTCACGCAAGGCTGCACATTAAAAAGATATTTCTACAAATGTTTTATGCCTTGCAGCCCATTGTCTAGAACTATCCAATCATTTGGTCAGAGTTATCTAGCTACTTGGCTACTGGAAAACTGTCATACAAGAGTGAACCCTGAGCCCTAAGCCCTAGACTTTTACTGACCTTTCCATCTGGTATTCATACATGCCTGGCCTGATGCTCTTCATCACCTGGAGGAGGGAAAGTGAAATATATGTCAAAATCCTTCACAGGGGGTTGAATAATTTTTTTTCTTAAAAAAAAATGAAATGCATAAATGGAAGAAAAATTATGCTATCTATTTAAGGATGATTTCATGTCAACATAGACAACAAGATTCCTGTGCGCCATAAGCTGGGATGGTGCATATGCCCTGTAACAGTATGAATCACATGTGGATGCCACATACAGTACACCTCACTGATGAGTTGTGTGTTTGACTTCTAAACTGGCCAATGATAAGAATAAAAGACTCAAACAGTACATCCAGTATTCAGTAAAATAAAAATAAAATCAATAAATCACCTCTTTGTGAGCCTCACTGCTGATTCTGTTCACATAACGCAACACCTCCAGCTCCATGTCTGTTTTAATCACTCGGCTAAAAAAAAAAATAATAAAATAAATAAACAATGAATGAATAAATAAACGCTAAAAGCCCCTGTAACATTTTTAGATCAGAAATGGGTACACTCAGTCTGACAATGTTAAAAAAGAAAGCTGGGAGATACTGAAATTCCAAATTCATTGTTTTGTAAATTTGCTTTGGCCACTTTCAGAAGGTTACTGCAGGGACATGATGGTGCTTAATTCAGTATAGTCAGGCACCAAACCACCCTGAGTATCAAAACACAAGTTTGTACTCAATTATATATATATATATATATATATATATATATATATATATATATGGCCATTCTGTCACTTACCACTCCATAATCTCAGGGTGCAACAACTTGTTGTCCACAGTGAAACTGTAACAAGAGGCAGTAGTCATTAAAAATGGTTAAAATTACAAAGCAAACAAAAAATTCTGTGTACACACTGATATAAGGAATGAATTAATGTTATTTAACAGGAGCATACAAGATTAAGGTAATAGTTTACAAATGCTGGCTGTGTTAACTGCATAATAGTAAGGTTATGGAGACAGGTACTGACAGTAATTATGAAAGATCTTTAATGCTAAAATGCATTTCCAAGCCGCCAAACACATATACAACAAAATTCACTTACTCCCCTATGCCATCAAAAGCTGCTTCTCTGCAATGTTTGCCACTGTCAGTATTAAGTCCCCTCTAAAATAAAATGTACTGAATTAAAATGTTTTGGAAAATTTTTTCAAAGATCAAAATAAAACATTTAAATGTCCTGATAATTGTTTCTTCTAAATGAGATCTGAAGATATAAAACCTGTTTAACTCTAGACCTATTAAATTCATAGTCCTTATAATCCTGAAACACTTCATTTTTATGTGAATTAAGAGACAAAAATTTTTAAACCTACTTTTCCATACAGCATAGGATGCCAGCAGAAAAATTTGTTCAAACATCATTTTCAGGTAAAATTAAACAATGTCTTTTGGTAATTCTCTTAGTTATACTACTTGAAACTATATGCTGGCATTTGGTTGGCTTTTGTGGCAAAAAGTTGACTTGATATGTATCTTTAAGTGTAGATATTAATATATTTATAAACATTCCCTACCAAAGTGAGTAGTTTTGATGGATTCATATTCTTCAGAACAGTAGCAATCTGCAAATATACAATACAAAAATACAACTTATAACAATTAACTACATCAGAAGGTAATATGAAGCATTAATTGAGAAACAGTACATACTTTGTTAACTGATATACCATTAAAATATGTAAGTTAAATCATTACTTCAGACACTACTAAAACAGTTGACCCTACCAGTTGCGACTAACAAATATTTCAAGGACTGATAGAATATTGTGTTCAGTCAGTCAGAAGAACCATCTACAACACCATTTTGAATTTACAAATGGACAGTCAGTCCAACACAACTTTCTTCTGTTTTCATTTAAGCAAATCCTTTGTATTAGTAGCTGCCACTCTTAAGGTTGGGTTATTTTTCAAAGTCTTTGGTTGGTCTTCTGTTACTTACATCTTCAACAAACTTTACTTTATCAACGCCATATTTGTCTTTAAAGTGCTCAGGTGGATGGATCCTGAAAATAAATGAATGAATGAATAAAATTCTATGATATTTACTGAATTTCAAAATAAATATCCTAAAATAAATTTAGAAATAATAATTTTCTAATAATTTATTTATTGTGGGAAATGGGTATAAAATTTTATAATGTTCTGATACATTTTTAACCGTAAAAATTTTAAATCTCAAAAGAAGTACTGAGGAAAGATGTGATCCGAGTGATTTCAGCTCCACAGAGTGTGCATATCTCAAACTCAATTTAGCCCTGTATCATATAGCTTATACATGTAATACATATTATATTAAATAAAAAATATGAATGGTCAAAAATGATTTTAAACCATTTTCGTGTGTGCAGTGTTCCCTTAATTTTTCTAACCAACAAACACAACTTCATGCACAATGAACCTCTCCCATTCTTTCCTCCCAAACATTGTACACAGGAATTCCTGTTTCTTTTAAAGTGAAGACACAAAGCAACATTATACCACTTTATTACAGTTACTATGTTACAATCTTCAACCACAAAATTGGAACAATTCTCCTCAAATAATTCAGTCTGTGTCTGACCACCTTCTTCAAGGAATAAGGTTTTGAATGTGCTGTTGACTGAAAAAAAAACTGTACCTCAACTACATCTGTATTACTGACACACTCAAAGTGACTGCTTCATTCTCTTTACAAGTCTGTTCTTTAGCTCCTTGAACTTCAAATCCAAGCAGACCAGTTATCTTGCAACCTGGCACCACCTATACTACATTTTCTAACTTTGCTTACGGAATTCTTTATTGAGAGATATTACTGTCCATTTCTTGCCAAAGATTGTCCTGAAGTGAACTTACTTTCCCATCCAAGTTGCATAGCTTTCAGGTAACTTTGGTATGAACAAAATCCCCATTCCCGTGTCTACATCAATTGCACCATAGGAATCTGGTTCTGCTACACCAAACATCCACTGAAAATAGGACTCCTGCAGGGGAGAAAATATATAAATATGATTTTTTTTGATTTGTGAATTTTAATTTTCAATTTTGGGTTCTTGAGATGAACTCCAAGTTTCCAGCAATCTCTAATAACATACATACCTGTCTGAAGATTTCCATTAACCTTCATACTCAGGGCACCACATACTGTACGCAATCCACACACACACACACACACACACACACACACACACACACACACACACACACACACACACACAATCCCGTCTAACGATTTACATTAATTACTCTTTGATAATCAGGGTACCACACACCTGTCTGAAGATTTGCATTAATTACTCTTTGATATTCAGGGTACTACACACCTGTCTAAAGAGCAGTTCTTTATCAGAACAGTACTGTGTTGCACTTTCCCCTCCCTGGATCACCACCACCGAGTTCTTTGGCACGTTCTTGTTAGCTCTGAGCCGCTCACACAACCGTTTCCTGTTCTCCTTATGGAGCTCCATAGGCACACTTAAGGTGTGCTCCCCAAGGCAGAACGCTGGTCTGAAAGCAAAATTTAATGTGAAATTAAAAATCGCCATTTCAGTCTTCAAAGGTTCAATGTCACTTGAAAATCAAATCAAATAAATAATCGGCAAAATATTGAAAGGCAAGAAAGTTTTAAAAAACAACAGACACGTCAATCTGTATGCTAATCAAGGGGCACAATTCTACTTCAGAACATATGATCGGGTACACCAGGTTGTAAGTAAGTTTAAGCGAGCGTAACACAATCCAGATACGCAAGTGAAATACAATTGGCCGCTAAATCATTTTTAAATGAGGAACTTACTGTGCTCTATTCGCAGCCGCCATTTTCACTGTCACATGATTTGTATCCAAGAAAGCCCCAGACCTTATCCTTAAAAGTGGCTCATGGAAATATGTATTTCCTCACACATCTTTTTACCTATCTTTCATATACATCTTTAAATTTAATCAGCATATCTTTGTAAAAAAAGACGTAATGCATGCACTTTTCATATTTGGACTCATTGTTTTTATTTATCGGAGCGTATTGAAAATAGCGACACATATCCGAGAAAAGTGAAAGTAGCACCCTTGTACCCAGTGATGCCCTCCAACCAGCACAGGCTTGTACCGACGAGGACATCGCTACATTCCAAGGGTCTCAATGGTTCTTAACAGAATGTAACTGACATATTCCAGTAATTTAGGAAACAAACAGGTAAATTCACGTAAGTTACTTTGTTAGCATGTATATTTAGGCCGAGTGGTGTCTACTCTAAGTGAGGATGTAGAAACCGGATGTACTGAAAGTCGGTACATTGACATTGTACCCAGTATCAGTCCCCTGAATACATGTATTTTACACTTCCTTGTCTAAGTGGTTGTCCAAGTATTCCCAAATTTCAAAAACCCAGTTATTCACGTAAATTTTGAATCAGTTTTTACAAACATATACTTTTAGTTTCTTTTTAAGCTTTGGTTTGTTAGAATTGTTTGAAATAGAATACTGTAAATACATCTTATTAGGTAAATGGAAGAATGATAGAAAATAAATCATTGTACTTGAATTATTTGAGCAATTATACAATATCTTAGGAAAAAAAATGGAGAAAGAGCACAAGGAGCGACTTAAAGTGAACAGAGTGGCCCTTATAGATGACTTGATGGTGAACGAGGTGTTGCTCAGTGAGCTCATGGCCTGTAACCTCATCACAGACTATGACATGGAGAAAATACAGGTATGACCATTAGTGTGTTCATGTAGTTTTGATAGTCTGATGATTAGGATTAGCTTTGGATGATGAACTATTAATGAAATGGATATATTTTGCTCTTGTTGAAAGAGCATCATTATGCTAAATACCCATAGGTTGTTGGGTGTTGGTATAGTGTTTGGCAAAGTGACATGGTTAAAATTAGGATGCAACTGGTATTCTTGATCCCTTGTCATAGTTTGTAGGGATTTTTGATGGGCGTGTATTACTTCCTTGAATTTTCTCCTGGGTCATTAACNAGTGACAAGTGACAAACAGTATCAAAGAAATACTACCTCTATAACAGAATGATAATTATAACAATTACATCAACACAATTGCTGAAAACACAACTAGCACAATCAAGACAGGCACAACAATTTACTGTCTCAACTACCACAATCAACGCAATCTCACCTCTGGGTAGCCTCCCACGTCATGCACATCCAGTCCCATGAAATGTCCCAGCCCATGTGGCATGAACACAGCTCCCAGGCGGACCTTCATCATGTGGTCCACCTCTCCCTGGAGTAAGCCGTGTCGCTTCAGCTCCTCTAAAATCTGGCGCTCTGCCAACTTATGCATCTCAACCCAGGACACTCCTACAGTGAAGGGTCAACTAATGTTTATTTTGACTCTAAGTTTATTTATTTATTTATCAAATACACATTTTTTCTTTCAGTTGTTTATTAGTGGTAGAATTTAACAGTAATTAATTGGTCCCTACACTGGGCCCGGTTCATGTTTTAAAATACCACAATTAGAATTGTAGTTAATGACAGCATGGCTTTCTCTGATTCTAAGAACAGCATCCACACAAACATACATACCAGTAATATGTCACTTTTAACTATGGGAACATTTTCCTGAATATCCCCATACCCAACTGTATAATTTGCCACATATTTTAAGAAACAAGAAGTTCTTTAAACACATGGACCCACACCCACCCACGTTATTTGCCACCAAGTAACCTAACAATGTTTTCTTCAGTACACACATCCATGCTCACCCACATAATTTGCAACTAAGATTTTCTCAGTTATAAAATCACAACTCCCAGATCAGTTCACATAACACTAAGCCATTCACACAGCTCACTCACCTGGCTTGACTGCCTGCATGACGGCACGGCTTGCCTTGAACACAGCGTTGTAGATCTTCTTCTGGTCCTCTGTGAACTTGCCGTTGGCAGGGAAGGAACAGGTGATATCTGAGGTGTAGCAGTGGTATTCAGCACCCATGTCAAATAGACTGGAAAAATGCAGAAACATTATACAGAATTTTGAGTATGAAAAATGTGATTAGATGCACTTATTGACCCCAGAATTAGACAGGCTCAGGGCAACTAAGCCTGAGGATATCAACCAATAAGTTTTGGTCTCAAGAGTTTGTGTGGAGCACTGGCGATGATTTTCAGACCTGGTAGAGTGAACTGCAATATGTCAAACAGACTGTTTTATTGTAACAAGTTTTATTTTATAATACTTTGGTCTCCTCTTACCACTTTCATCACTTACTATTTTCTAAAGTTCTCAAACTTGCTTAACTTGCAATCTGTGAAAATGCAAAGTGCAAAGGTTACTTCTGCTTGATGCCCTTGAGGTATGCTAATGATGATACAATCAATGAATTTCCATCCCTAGGTATACTTACCACATGTCTCCATCCTGGATTTTCTTGCTATTGGGGGCACCAGCATGTCCATAATGGAGAATGGAACTGTTGAAACCGCTGAAATACAGAAAATATGCAAAAAATAAAGACAATAACAGAAGGTAATGGGTTACATGGCTCATGAAAATTAGGCCTGGGTTTTGTTTTGTCGCTGGAAATATTCCCATTGTAATTTAAAAACTTTGTCACTGTCCAGTTCAGTGGAACTTGAAAGTACCAATCTACCTTTGAATGCTTCATTTGTTATGTGGGCTATTGTTAGGAAAGGTTACAGTTTCATCACTGTTACTTTTACTTTGTAAAAAAACAATTACATCTATTCAGTTCAATATATTTTATACAGTATGTAGCTTAAAATTTTATGGCTTTACCAATACTTTGCTGTATCTTCTTTTTCTTATTGGCAATAGACCTTTTCTTCTAAGAGAAACAATACTTTTTTATGTGTAATACTACACTGTTCCAGGAAAATACACCTTCAAAAAAAAAAAAAAAAAAAAATTAGAAATTCTAATGCAATCTTTCCCTTTATCCTTACCTTCCACAAATACACGTGTATGACATAATCCTCATTCCACCATTCACATAACAATAGTGCTGGAATGCACTGAAACAGAAATATTGTATTATATTGACTGTATTGGCCATGGGGTACCTTAGGCATTTATCACTGGGTTCCCACACCTAGAATGATCTAACAGGATTGATCCATCTCTTAGGCATTTCTCAGTAAATCACTTTCATGTTAAGCACCTTAGATGTTCTGAAGCTGATAAACAATTATAATTATTTACCCTCTAGCAGCTTTAGTAGTCTGACAGACATCTAAGCTGCTTAAGTTGATTGCAATTTAGCAAGAATCCCCTTGGAGATAGATCGTCCCATAGTTAGCATGGTATGGTCTGGGAATGGTCCCTTAGCCCATAGCTAGGTCACTAAGATCTGATCACCTAAGAAAACTGTAAGCCTGAAGATGGAATCTACAGAGTAGTGTAAATAACCTAAAATAGTTGCTTAAATGGCAACTGATTCCATTAAACAAATGTTGTATGCCTTGCAGCCCATTGTCTAGAACTATCCAATCATTTGGTCAGAGTTATCTAGCTACTTGGCTACTGGAAAACTGCCATACAAGAGTGAACCCTGAGCCCTAAGCCCTACACTTTTACTGACCTTTCCATCTGGTATTCATACATGCCTGGCCTGATGCTCTTCATCACCTGGAGGAGGGAAAGTGAAATATTTGTCAAAATCCTTCACAGGGGGTTGAGTAAATTTTTTTTTACATGATATGCATAAATGGAAGAAAAATTATGCTATCTGTTTAAGGATGATTGCATGTCAACATAGACAACAAGATTCCTGTGCGCCATAAGCTGGGATAGTGCATATGCCCTGTAACAGTATGAATCACATGTGGATGCCACATACAATACACCTCACCTATGAGTTGTGTGTTTGACTTCTAAACTGGCCAATGATAAGAACAAAAGACTCAAACAGTACATCCAGTATTCAGTAAAATAAAAATAACATCAATAAATCACCTCTTTGTGAGCCTCACTGCTGATTCTGTTCACATAACGCAACACCTCCAGCTCCATGTCTGTTTTAATCACTCGGCTAAAAAAAAAAAAACAATGAATGAATAAATAAACGCTAAAAGCCCCTGTAACATTTTTAGATCAGAAATGGGTACACTCAGTCTGACAATGTTAAAAAAGAAAGCTGGGAGATACTGAAATGCCAAATTCATTGTTCTGTAAATTTGCTTTGGCCACTTTCAGAAGGTTACTGCAGGGACATGATGGTGCTTAATTCAGTATAGTCAGGCACCAAACCACCCTGAGTATCAAAACACAAGTTTGTACTCAATTATATATATATATATATATATATATATATATATATATATATATATATATATATATATATATGGCCATTCTGTCACTTACCACTCCATAATCTCAGGGTGCAACAACTTGTTGTCCACAGTGAAACTGTAACAAGAGGCAGTAGTCATTAAAAATGGTTAAAATTACAGAAAAGCAGAGAAAAATTCTGTGCACACAATGATATAAGGAATGAATTAATGTTTTTTAACAGGAGCATACAAGATTAAGGCTATAGTTTACAAATGCTGGCTGTGTTAACTGCATAATACTAATAGTAAGGTTATGGAGACAGGTACTGACAGTAATTATGAAAGATCTTTAATGCTAAAATGTATTTCCAAGCCGCCAAACACATATACAACATAATTCACTTACTCCCCTATGCCATCAAAAGCTGCTTCTCTGCAATGTTTGCCACTGTCAGTATTAAGTCCCCTCTAAAATAAAATGTACTGAATTAAAATGTTTTGGAAAATTTTTTCAAAGATCAAAATAAAACATTTAAATGTCCTGATAATTGTTTCTTCTAAATGAGATCTGAAGATATAAAACCTGTTTAACTCTAGACCTATTAAATTCATAGTCCTTATAATCCTGAAACACTTCATTTTTATGTGAATTAAGAGACAAAAATTTTTAAACCTACTTTTCCATACAGCATAGGATGCCAGCAGAAAAATTCGTTCAAACATCATCAGGTAAAATTAAACAATGTCTTTTGGTAATTCTCTTAGTTATACTACTTGAAACTATACACTGGCATTTGGTTGGCTTTTGTGGCAAAAAGTTGACTTGATATGTATCTTAAAGTGTAGATATTAATATATTTATGAACATTCCCTACCAAAATGAGTAGTTTTGATGGATTCATATTCTTCAGAACAGTAGCAATCTGCAAATTTACAATACAAAAATACAACTTATAACAATTAACTACATCAGAAGGTAATGTGAAGCATTAATTGAGAAACAGTACATACTTTGTTAACTGATATACCATTAAAATATGTAAGTTAAATCATTACTTCAGACACTACTAAAACAGTTGACCCTACCAGTTGCGACTAACAAATATTTCAAGGACTGATAGAATATTGTGTTCAGTCAGTCAGAAGAACCATCTACAACACCATTTTGAATTTACAAATGGACAGTCAGTCCAACACAACTTTCTTCTGTTTATATTTAAGCAAATCCTTTGTATTAGTAGCTGCCACTCTTAAGGTTGGGTTATTTTTCAAAGTCTTTGGTTGGTCTTCTGTTACTTACATCTTCAACAAACTTTACTTTATCAACGCCATATTTGTCTTTAAAGTGCTCAGGTGGATGGATCCTGAAAATACGTGAATGACTGAATAAAATTCTACGATATTTACTGAATTTCAAAATAAATACCCTAAAATAAATTTAGAAGTAATAATTTTCTAATATTTTTTTATTGTGGGAAATGGGTATAAAATTTTATAATGTTCTGATATATTTTTAACTGTAAAAATTTTAAATCTCAAAAGAAGTACTGAGGAAAGATGTGATCTGAGTGGCTCATGCTGACCCCTGATTGCAGCGCCACAGAGTGTGCAGATCTCAAACTAAATTTAGCCCTGTATCACGTAGCTTATACATGTAGTGCATATTATATTAAATAAAAAATACAAATGGTCAACAAGGCAGCAAAGCTGTCAAATGTACAGACAAAAAACAGAAAATAAAGATGCAAAAAAGGTCATTTTGTCAATTTTGATGCAAAAATAAATAATGCTTATAATAGCACTATCAGTCAACATTGAATTTTAATCATGCACAACAAGGTAACATGGTCAATAACAGGAGCGGACCCTGAGATATTTTCTGACAGTATTCCAAAGTATCTATGTTGATCCATCCTCCATTTTGATGGTCTTCCAACAGAAAAAAAAGATACCAGTCAATATAAACTTAATAACCTGTCTTCCAGAAGACCGAGAAGATGGTCTCAATCCACCCCTTAAATAAGATTACAGTTTCAGGACCATGAGAGACTAAGGTCACATGATGAAAGTCTCAATATTTGAAAAATGATGATAGTGCATAAAATAATATTACATTTTATTACATTATATGTTTATTTAAAGACATAAAAAACAACTGCTTATGTGGAAATACAGAAAATGTGCAGAGCCTCAGGTGGATGAGAGTTAAAAGTCACAAATGCAGTGTTTGAGAAAAAATTATAAAGGAAACATAACAAAACTAGAAAAGCACTCCGAGAGTGCAGACCTCTGCCAAGGCAGCAATTGTTGATTATTATTGATTGATTATTGAGCCAGACCACCACCAAAAACTAATCATTGTCCTCTTTGGCCCACTTCTGACAGTTCCTGAAAATTTCAGCAAAATCGGTCCATAACTTTTGAGTTATGTTGATGACAGACAAACCATAACCTCCTAGGCAGAGCCTGAGGTAAATATAATTCCAATGAAGCTGCTATTCAAACTTTTAATCTTCAAGTTTGATATATATATATATATATATATATATATATATAATTACCTGCATAATTTACCTGTATAATTATCACTGCTTCCTTATTATTTATCTAGCAGAGAGCTTAACCTTTGGCAGTTTACAGGGAAATATCAACAAGTGTGCTTTATGTAATCTCATTTAATGGCCTATTAATTAGGCAAATAATTTTATAACTTAGCTAAGTGATACCCAAGGGAAATTTATAGACTGACCCTCTCAAAGGTCTTTCAGGCCCATAAGTCACATCTTAAGAAAAGCACAAAACAATAATGCACAAAATAGGTGACTACCAATTCTGATGCAATAATACATTATGTTTAACTGCACAGTCAACATCAAATTTTAATTATGCACAACAGGTAACACCAACAAAAGTAAAAGCATAAGGCTTCAGGCCCATCAAAGTTCAAGTTTATACTTANACTTCTAAAATAATGGCCCAATTATGCTGATTTTTGAACTCTACCTGCGTTTTAGTAAGATTGACCACTCCTGTGAGTATAATGACAATTGGCCAATCTGTTTTTCTTATATTGTGTTATCAGTGTTGCATATATGTTGAAAAAAGTGAAAAAACAGCATAACTCCCCTAAAACTGGCCTGATCATGCTGATTTTCGAACTTGACCTGCGGATTATGCATATTCATCAGTTTTGTAAGTTTCAAGCCAAAAAGTGTTATCGGTGCTGCATATATGCTGAAAAAAGTGAAAAAACAGCATAACTTCCCTACAAGTCACCCCATCATGCTGATTTTCGAACTCGACCTGCGTATTATGAATATTCATCAGTTCTGCAGGTTTCAAGCCAAAAGAAAAAACGGTTCTTCACTTATCGTGTTATCGGTGAAAGTGCACGACGGCGACGACGGCGACGACAGACGCAGATATTGGCTATATGTACAGACACATCTGTGTCTGTACATAAAAATGATTTTAACCCTTTTTGTGTGTGCAGTATTTCTTTTATATTTCTAACCAACAAACACAACTTCATTCTTTCCTCCCAAACATTGTACACAGGAATTCCTGTTTCTTTTAAAGTGAAGACACAAAGCAACATTATACCACTTTATGACAGTTACTATGTAACTTTCTTCAACCACAAGCTAAAATCGGAGCAATGTCTCCTCAAATAATTCAGTCTGTGTCTGTTCACCTTCTTCAAGGAATAAGGTTTATAATGTGCTATTGACTGAAGAAAAAAACCTGTACCTCAACTACATCTGTATTACTGACACTCAAAGTGACTGCTTCATTCTCTTTACAAGTCTGTTCTTTAGCTCCTTGAACTTCAAATCCTAGCAGAGTGGTTATCTTGCAACCTGGTGCCACCTATACTACATTTTCTAACTTTGCTTAAGGATTTCTTTATTGAAAGATATATTACAGTCCATTTCTTGCCTAAGATTGTCCTGAAGTGAACTTACTTTCCCATCCAAGTTGCATAGCTTTCAGGTAACTTTGGTATGAACAAAATCCCCACTCCTGTGTCTACATCAATTGCACCATAGGAATCAGGTTCTGCTACACCAAACATCCACTGAAAATAGGACTCCTGCAGGGGAGAAAATATACAAATATGATTTTTGGATTTGTGAATTTTAATTTTCAATTTTTGGTTCTTGAGATGAACTCTAAGTTTCCAGCAATCACTAATAACATACGTACCTGTCTGAAGATTTCCATTAAACTTCATACTCAGGGCACCACATACTGTACACCTGCCTTAAGCCAAGTTAAGGTTTCTATTAACCTTTCATATTCAGGGTACCACACAATCCCAAAGAGTTGCACTGCTCTCTGATATTCAAGGTACCACACACACACACACACACACACACACAATCAGTGTTAGAAATTAAGGCTGGACTGCAGACAACTTTCAGAATGGGCGGAGAAGTTTTCCCACCTGTCAGACAGTCTGTCCAGCTACTTTTCAAGATGGCTGGACCTTTGGTCCAGCAACTAATTTTCCTAAGAGTAAGAGGCAAACACTGCACACAATCCTGTCTAACGATTTACATTAATTACTCTTTGATAATCAGGGCACCACACGCACCTGTCTGAAGATTTGCATTAATTACTCTTTGATATTCAGGGTACTACACACACCTGTCTGAAGAGCAGTTCCGTATCAGAACAGTACTGTGTTGCACTTTCCCCTCCCTGCATCACCACCACTGAGTTCTTTGGCACGTTCTTGTTAGCTCGGAGCCGCTCACACAACCGTTTCCTGTTCTCCTTATGGAGCTCCATAGGCACACTTAAGGTGTGTTCCCCAAGGCAAAATGCAGGTCTGAAAGCAAAATTTAATGTGTAATTAAAAATCGCCATTTCAGTCTTCACAGGTTCAATGTCACTTGAAAATTAAATAAAATATAAAAAATCGCAAAAATATTGAAAGAAAATTAAGAAAGTTTAAAAAAACCGCTAATCAAGGGGGAACCATTCTACTTCAAAACATATACCAGGTTGTGAGTAAGTTTACGCGAGCGTAACACAATCCAGATAAGCAAGTAAAATAAGATTGGCCGATAAATCCTTGTAAATGAGGAACATACTGTGCTCTATTCGCAGCCGCCATTTTCACTGTCACATGATTTGTATCCAAGAGAGCCCCATACCTTATCCTTAAAAGTGGCTCATGGAAATATGTATTTCCTCACACATCTTTTTACCTATCTTTCATATACATCTTTAAATTTAATCAGCATATCTTTGTAAAAAAAAGACGTAATGCATGCACTTTTCATATTTGGACTCATTGTTTTTATTTATCGGAACGTATTGAAAATAGCGACACATATCCGAGAAAAGTGAAAGTAGCACCCTTGTACCCAGTGATGCCCTCCGACCACCACAGGCTTGTACCGACGAGGACATCGCTACACTCCAAGGGTCTAAATGGTTCTTAACAGAATGTAACTGACATATTCCAGTAATTTAGGAAACAAACAGGTAAATTCACGTAAGTTACTTTGTTAGCATGTATATTTAGGCCGAGTGGTGTCTACTCTAAGTGAGAATGTAGAAACCGGATGTACTGAAAGTCGGTACATTGACATTGTACCCAGTATCAGTCCCCTGAATACATGTATTTTACACTTCCTTGTCTAAGTGGTTGTCCAAGTATTCCCAAATTTCAAAAACCCAGTTATTCACTTAAATTTTGAATAAGTTTTTACAAACATATACTTTTAGTTTCTTTTTAAGCTTTGGTTTGTTAGAATTGTTTGAAATAGAATACTGTAAATACATCTTATCAGGTAAATGGAAGAATGATAGAAAATAAATCATCGTACTTGAATTATTTGAGCAATTATACAATATCTTAGGAAAAAAAAATGGAGAAAGAGCACAAGGAGCGACTTAAAGTGAACAGAGTGGCCCTTATAGATGACTTGATGGTGAACGAGGTGTTGCTCAGTGAGCTCATGGCCTGTAACCTCATCACAGACTATGACATGGAGAAAATACAGGTATGACCATTAGTGTGTTCATGTAGTTTTGATAGTCTGATGATTAGGATTAGCTTTGGATGATGAACTATTAATGAAATGGATATATTTTGCTCTTGTTGCAAGAGCATCATTATGCTAAATACCCATAGGTTGTTGGGTGTTGGTATAGTGTTTGGCAAAGTGACATGGTTAAAATTAGGATGCAACTGGTATTCTTGATCCCTTGTCATAGTTTGTAGGGATTTTCGATGGGCGTGTATTACTTCCTTGAATTTTCTCCTGGGTCATTAATGTTCTTTGGATAGAATATTTTTCATATGCTCATGTAACTCATGAGTTATGCTCATGAGTTAAATGATTAATAATTAACATAAATGTCATTAAAATGCGATCATTTTCAGACCTTACTCCCATATTGTCATCTCTTTGTTTTCCTTGTTTTTAATTTATGTTTATGACATTTGACCCTATCAAACCTAATTATATCCTTCTAAATTTATCACTTCTGTTAAAGTGTTAGTATATACGCAAGCTTTGCTGTCTAGTTTTCATTTCCAGTTTTTCTTTCCAGTCTATTCCCACAAGATATGACAAAGCAGGGCACATCTTGGACGTGGTAAAAACCAGGGGTCCAGAGGCATTTGAAAAGTTCCAGGAAGTTCTGAGGAATACAGAGCAGGGGCACCTGGCTGACCTGCTGGACACACCCTCTGGGAAGGTGTTCTATACCTGTAGGTACCTGGTTTAACAGAGAAACATGTCATGGTTATTTTTTTCTTTTTAAAATTTTCAAAAAGGCATCAGTGAATATGAGGTAGGAGAGTGTTATATTCACAATATTTTGTTAAAATAACTAAGGAAAAACAGAAATGTATGCACCTTAAACTTTTTGCCCACTGGTTTCTTGAGCTGGTGAACTTCAGAAAATTTCTGGTTTTAGTGCCCATCAAAAGTAGCAATTCCAAAGCTGAAATCAAGAGATAGTGAAAAAGTAGTCTTCAATACCCCTGAAATTTCTACCTGTCTTGTATGTCTGGTCAGATTAAAAATTGAATTTTTACTACATGTACTAGTCTGATACCAAAGCCATTTTAGTTGCTTTTGTCAAACACCGCAGGCTGTAAAACTAGGAAAATCTCTTCCAGTTCCTTACCGAGTTAATAGACCTCCAGTGGCACCCCAACAAGGGTACCACCCACCCACAGAACAGCTATATGCAAGGACTCCCACTCAGCAACAACAGGTGCCGATTGGTAATACATATAGTAGGTACCATGAACGAGGCATGTTCTCCCCTCAAGGCCAGCAAACAGGACAGGAATATGGAGCATTCTCACAGGGAGCCAGACAGCAGGTTCCTTCTGCCCAACAGGTGGCAGCACCTGGGTATCCAACAACTTCTCCCCAGGTGGCAGCACAGGGTTATCCAACAGGAACTCATCAGTTTCTGCCATCAGGTTACCAACCACCAAACCAACAGACAACAGCACAATATACACCAGGATATTTGCCACCAAACCAACAGAGGGCAGCACAATATACACCAGGATATACGCCACCAAACCAACAGA